GGATCCGAAGTTGGTTTCGAGTGACTCACGGAGTACTACGGAAGATCCCACGAGTTTGGTAGCTGATGTATATGTTGTTGATTCGGAAATACAGACGAATCCGGTAACTAATAAGCATAGATCTGTTTCTCCCTCACCTCAGATGGCTCTTCCTGATGTGTTTAAGGAAGCGAGGTCTGAGCGTAAGAGATTTTCTACTCCGCATCCAAGAAGGATGGAATCGGAAAAGGGAATGAAGCCGAAGCTTTCCCATAAAAACTCCTTTGAAAAGAGATCGTTTAACTTGCGGTCTCCATCAGGTCCAATCAGAGATCTAGGCACTCTGAGAATTCAAGAGAGAGTGAAGAGCAAGAAGGACACAGGTTGGTCTAAGCTTTTTGATAATGGTGGTCGTAGAGTAAGTGCTGTGGAAGCTGCTGAAGAGTTCCGTGTCGATATGTCGAAGCTGTTCTTTGGGCTTAGGTTTGCTCATGGGTTATATAGCCGATTATACCATGGAAAGTATGAAGATAAAGCTGTTGCGGTGAAGCTTATCACTGTGCCTGATGATGACGAAAATGGATGCTTGGGTGCTCGTTTAGAGAAACAGTTTACCAAGGAAGTCACCCTGTTGTCTCGACTGTGCCATCAAAATGTTATTAAGGTGATTCATGTCGCCTCTCTTGTTATTTTCTGTAGGCTAATTGTCATGTTAGTCTAGATGGAATGATTACTGTAGTCTTTGTTAACTTTTCTTCTCTTGTTTGTGTGCTAAAACAGTTTGTGGGAGCGTATAAAGATCCACCTGTATATTGTGTCCTCACGGAGTATTTACCTGAAGGATCTTTAAGATCTTTTCTGCACAAGCCTGAGAATAGGTCTCTTCCTTTGAAAAAGCTGATAGAGTTTGCTCTAGATATTGCAAGAGGAATGGAATATATTCACTCACGACACGTAATTCATCGGGATCTTAAGCCAGAAAATGTATTGATCGACGAAGACTTCCACTTGAAGATTGCTGACTTTGGCATTGCATGCGAGGAGGAGTACTGTGACATGTTGGCTGATGACCCAGGAACTTATAGGTGGATGGCCCCTGAAATGATAAAACGGAAACCACACGGGCGTAAAGCAGATGTTTACAGTTTTGGACTTGTTTTATGGGAAATGGTAGCTGGAGCAATCCCGTATGAGGACATGAATCCTATTCAAGCTGCTTTTGCAGTTGTGCACAAGGTAAAATATTCTGTCTCTCTTGCTGATTATTTACATCCTTTATTGTTCAGTTGTTTCAACCATTTGAGACCTGACAAATGCTGATCTTTGTTTCAGAACATTAGGCCGGCTATCCCGGGAGATTGCCCAGCGGCCATGAAAGCTCTTATAGAGCAGTGTTGGTCAGTTGCTCCGGATAAAAGACCTGAGTTCTGGCAGATAGTGAAAGTGCTTGAACAGTTTGCGGCTTCTCTGGAACGCGATGGGAGCTTGAATCTAACTCCGAACAAGATCTGTAGGGACCCGAAGAAAGGTCTGAAACACTGGATTCAGAAGCTTGGACCGGTGCA